TTGTGGTACATATTTCATTAAGGAGTTCCATTAAGACAGAATTTCTATTGCACAAAATAATCTGTTAGTTATGAAGTAAAGTAAGGAAAATGGGTACATAGATGACTCTTGTGTCTCACTGTGACTGTGCAAAACACCTGTTTAAGTATTCTTACTTGCCACATGAGTTGAAGAGTGCAAAGGGCTGTGGTAAAACCACATCTATTCACTTCTAAAATTCTTGAATTGGATGGAAATGTCATTTCACCAGGACGATTAGGCAGTTTATAAAGGCAGCAGAGAACAGGAGTTAAAAAAAGCTCAAGGACAATGGAGAAGGGTGAAGAAGATAAATGAGGATCTCTTTGCAATTCCTTTACCTGTTGGTTCTCTCTGGAGGGTTTTCTTCATGGACTTTGCAATATCATTTATCTTATTTCTTATTAAAGCAGTGGGATTTCTAGATTCTGTTTTAATCTAAGTACTGCTATAGCAAAAGTGATTTTAAAGCCAATTTCATTCAGTAGGTATGGTATATTTGATTTTTCTGTGTGACATCTCTGTCTGCATTTGTATGTCAATCATAAATGTATTCCTTTAGTCTGTTTTCCATCTTCTTGTATTCACACTTCCTATTGGGGAAAAAATAGGTTTATGTTATAAAACAGTTTTACAGAGAACTTTGGTCATGCCAGTATTTGGCCTAGATGAAATCAGCTAGTTTTGGAAAGAGAATCTATCAGTTAGACAAGGCAAGACGTTTTGTGTTGTTTTTTTCTATGAATAGGACCAATTTAACCTCCCATGAAAATCCTTGAAATAAATTCTTCCTGACTCTATGCTCTAATGTTCCTTGACCTTGCTTACCTCATGAGTTATGTCCTTCATTCATGCTGTGGCTATAATGAGGCACATTCCTCTTTACAGTGTTGTGACTCACAGCTCTGATGAGTTGCTAAGCTTCAAGGCCTAGTTTCATAAGAAGTTACCATGAAAAACTTGTCATTAACAAAAATTACCATGGGTATCTCTGCCCAGGCAGAAGAACAGGAAAAGAATTTATGTTTTTTTCAGTTCTCTAATGTCTGACTAGAACATTCAGTAATTGGTTTGTTTGCTTTCTGGTGAACTCTACCCATTTCTTAAGTGCAGCACAAACAGCTTCAGGAAATAACTGACAAAATGTGAAGAGGAAAAACAGAAAAGCAGATGCTTCATTCTTGTTCTGCTATTTGCTAGCCTGTGTAGGTGTTTGGCCAGGAGAATCTAATGAAGTAACTACAGCAGCAAAAGATATTAACATTTGGATAATTGCTCTAAAGAAAAACAAAAAAAGGAAATTAAATATTCCCTAGAAATATACTCAAGTGCAATAATACTTCACGTGGAAGAAATCCTCCATGCAGTACCTCTTAATCAATAATAAAATAAGTCATCTAAGACAGAACCCTGAAGCTGTTCTTTCTCCATAGAAAAGGAATGTGCTCCTTGCTTGTTTGATGACCATCTGATGATCATTTTATAATCTCTCCATCACTACAGCAGCCAAAATGCAAGTGGGAGCAATGGCAATGGAAAAAGTGTGGGAGAAGAAAAAGTGTGGGACTAGTGGGAAAGAAAGCAATGTTTGGCAGTGACACTGCAGCCCAGGCATCCCTTGATGAGAACTCAGGAAACAATTTCAACTTCTCTTATTCCTGATGCACTGAGTTAATAATGTTCCAGAAATATTTGAAATAAAAGAGACCCCTTGGTTGTGTGTGGTCCCAGCTGCAAACTGAGATGTTGACCTAGCTTGGTATGTACACAAGCAGGAGAGTAAATTAAAAAATGAGTAGCATTTTTGCTCAGCTACCTCTTAATTTCTTGTAGTAAAGTCTTCTTTAACTTTTAGTACATAGAATATTTTTGGGTAATTGATTTCATACTGATATGTGCTTTAAAAGGATTAATATACAGGTTATTTATTTGAATGAATCAAAAGATATATTAGGGAATTTTTAGTGGATTTCAGGAAGGATGGATAGCCATTAAGTCAAGAAGCTGAACCTTTGCTTTTATTGCAGAGGTCATTCATAACTCTGGAACTCTGACCAGCTTTTCTACAGTATCAGAACTGATGCAATAAATCCAGGTGCAAACTTGTCCTCCTTGACACTGATTTGAACATCATTAAAAAAGCTTCTGTCTTTCATGGTTCTTGCTTTGGGGCTTTTTCAAATACTACCTCAGCTATGAAATAGTCATTGATAAGATCATCATTTTTATGAGAATGCATGAAAGACAGTTGAAAATTGGTTATAGAATTTCACGCTTATGTGGAATGGAGGAAATGTTCCTCCATCTTTTGGAATGGAATTAACCCCATTTTGAATCTTATTAGTAAAATAAGGGAACTTTTGTTCTAAGACAAGCTCAAGTCAAGTTCTCATACAATTCCTGAGGCAACATCCTCTATGCCTGCTATGTGGGAAGTGCTTCATTGAAATAAAAATGTTATTTAGAGAAAATCAACAAAGCAACCAATATCTAGTTTATGAGATTTCAATCTGCTGAGAAATTTTCAGCATCTAACCCACAATTATTCTTAATCATGCTGGATTTTTTTTTTCAAATTGCACTTATATTTATAGTTCACCAATTCTGTTTCTGTGACACTGGCAAGGAAAATAAAGTTGTGTTCAAATTCTGTTTGAGAACTGGGCTGATGCTAGTAGTTGCCAGCAATGTAACTTGAACCTGATCAAATTGTTTGCTAATCAGGAACATTCAGTACATCCAAGTGAAAGTAATTAGGTCAGCAGAGATTTTCAAGATCTTTATTACTTTGGGTTTGATAGCTCAGCAGTTGTCTTCTAATTTAGCAGCAGACTGAAAAGAGCCTGTGTATCTGATCACTATGGAGGTCAGTGTTAAATGAGATCTTTCTGTGTTCTCCTTCCTCCTTCTACTTGTCCCCATCTTCCTCCTTTGGTACTCCTTGACTTTCAATCAGGCTTTTCTCATCCTGAATCAATCCTTTTGCTGTTACAGATACCAGACATTATTTTGCTTCAACAGTGCAGGACACAATGGTATTCAAATGTGTAACTATTACAAATGCCAGTAGGAATAACAAAATCTCACAAATGCACTATATTTACTCAGACTGCTTGGTTGATTTAAATATTGTCTTGCAAGTCTTGAGCCATGTAATTGTAAAAACATGAGGGTAAACTTAAAGCAGTAATGCTTCAAAATTACAATTTAAGCATTATTTGTTTAAAATACATTCTGTCCTTTGAATATGGTCTTTATAACTGATAGAGGTCTATTTCCTGCAGCAGGGTTCAGTATGCTAGCCCTTACTGCATTGAATAGAAATAAATCTTATGGTCTGTGCTGTGATGGTCAGACTGGTTGTGATGCAAGCCTGTTGGAAGCTGGGGCAGACCCTGACAGACAGGTTAGCTGCATGGCCATAGCTCAGACAGTCTTTGGACTGAACTATGACTTCCAAGTAAAACATTTACTTGGATATGAAAACAGTTTTTATCCTTAGAGAAATAGGGTTTGGGGTTTGCTTCCTGCAAAAAGTAAGCCATTTTTGAAAATGGACTTTCAGTGTCAGAATGAAAACTTTTGTAATGTTTGTCCAAGTTACTATAGGTTTGGATTTGCTGGCCCAGAATGGGAATTCGAGTGTGCAGTAGGAAAAAAAAAACTTGCTCTTTCGGTCTTCCTTCCTCTGTTTGACATTTTATCAGATTAATTTTTTTTTTTGCTGGTGGTGATAGTTTTTTTAGGTTTTTTTGTAGGGTGAATTCTCATTCTGGGTAAAAGGTGTCCCTCCTATGACATTCTATTAAAATGCAGTTTTCTACAGGTGCTTCTGGTTAGCTGCTTAATCAGAAAAGCCCAAGCACATTTGTGCTATAGGAGTTTTTTTCCTGGATACATCTGTGCACGTATGGGATGCATCACAAAGGCAGAGAGGATGTTCAGGGCACAGGTCATTCAGCAGGGTGCAGGGCTGTGGCTGTACCAAGCCTGCTTCCAGCTTCTGTGCCTCTGCAGTGTGCTTTGCTTTCATTGCTGACAGTGGTCTATAGGTGCTGAAAACTGCACATCAATAGACGTGCTTGGATTCCAAAACTGTCTATGCAGATCATTTTTAGCTAATAAGAAATTAGAGAAATTAATGGGTTTTAGATAGATGAACAATTTTAATGCTTCTTCAGAAATGTATGCTCCTATTTAGATATCTAAACCCCTTCAAATTTTGTTTTCTGACGTTATGGTGGCCAGGATTGGGAATGTACAGAGGAAATGAGAAAAATAATAGATGAAGGTGAGGTCAGGAGAGTTCTGCTTTTCCATTAATTTTCTCTTATCCTCAGCATGGCACTTTCTTTGTGACACCCCTGATTATGTGATGACCCAGTTCTTTACTCCAAAGATAGGATCATGCTGTGGGAAAGACAGCTGAGGGCTGCTGCACATCCCCACCACTGGTGTGGGTGTTAATTACCACTGGATAGCAATTAACTCGCCTGTGCATCAATAGAGAAAGAAAGTCTGGAAAAAATGTTCCTTCCTTCCTGCCTACCATTCTGTGTGATTTGGAACTATTCTTTGAAGTCAGCTGTGTCCAGGCTTATTGGCAGCTACTTCTGTACTCTGATGTACAGCCATAATAGAAGAAAAATTAAAGCAAGCAGTAAAGGGGAGGAAAAAAGTGGATTTTGTTTGAGTTTTCTTGATTTTTTTTTTGTTGGGTTTTTCTCCCTATGTTGCTGCTTTCTTGGATATCATTTTGGGAGGTAAATGCAAGTCTGTTATGCTAAGGAAGCAATTATAATCAGTGAATCTAACGACAAATGATTTAGCTAACTACCCTCATTACATTGAACATCTGATTACACTGAAAGTAATATTTGTCATTTTAAAGAGTTTCGTTTACACTGTAACTCCAAACAATTTTTCTGTCTGAAGCCTCCTGTATTTATTTTATGACATAAGTAATCCTCCACAGAGCAATGGCAAATTTAATTGAATTCTTTATTCAGGAATGTTACAATTCAGGAGGTTTTCATGTTGTTGGGGTTTCTTGTTTCTTTTGATTTTCAGAAAGATAAGAAAAGGAAACCATTTCTGCCTCTAAAATATCTGCAAACATGGAACAAAATCTCAGGAATGTAACATCTTTTTTATTTATACACGCATGTATAAATGCACAATAGCCTCTCAAGCTGCAGGCTTCTTGGCAGGATGATGCTTTCTGTATCCTGTATAATTTAGTCAAGGCAGAAAATAGATGTGATGGCACTCATGGCTTCAGGCTGAACTAAAATTCTCTAATAGTTGCTTTGCTGTAAATGAGTTACAATGACATAAAGGATGTATCCACTTAAAGGTAGTTAATTACTGTGAAAGAAAGAACTTGTTTGTCTCTGAAACAAAATGATGAAGCCTCTAGGCAATACCTGCATTATCAAAAAGGCTAGATCGTGTATCAATTCCTGTAGGAAATACGTTAAATTCCACCTTAAGGATGACAGACTCCTTGCCCCACTATTTCCAGTGGAGAGCTTTTCCAAAGCAAATGCTCAGGTGGTCAAGAAGCTTATCTTGCTTGTCCTTGTGCTACTCTTATCCTGTGGTGGGTCCTTCCTTCATGTCTGTTCTGCTCAGTGAGGGACATGTTAATGAGCAACTATCAGTTTCTGTCATTGCCATCAAGTTCAGAAGAGTGATGTGAGGAGACTTACGGGTGTCAGAGAGCGATTCTGTGATAATATTTTCTTTTTGTTACAGTGAGATGTTTCTAAATGACATAGAAAAAACGCTTCCTGGCATTCAACACTACCTATTTGATACACAGCTTTGTGCTCAAAACAGCAGCAGTAAAGCTGGACTGCAATACTACATAGGCAAATTTATCATGTATTTCCTATGACTATAAACACTGGAAATCTAATGATTCTTAGATTTTTAAGATGTGGTTCAAATGTCTCGAAATTTGTGACATAACTCTAAATGCAGAGTCTTTGATTGAAAATTAAACATTCACTCTGAAAGATATAACAAAGAAATAATATCTAAGTTTGTCTCCTGATGAACTTAGTAAGAAGTTCTTTACATGAAACAGAAATTAAGATTCATTGCATGTAAGTGAAGCAAGACCAGAGAGAATAGAGAGATCCTGGGAAAAGTAAATGAAATTTGTCTAGCTGGTCTAAAAAATATTGCCAGATGGCTTGAATTTAGCTTTGGGATTTTTTTTTCTTTTTCCATGCTGTGCTCATTCTCTGAATGTAAATTAATTGTTTCTTTAGACAGAATAGGATCAGTATTTGTTATCAATAGTGTTCTGTAATTGAAAGTTAGGAGTCTTGGTAGATTATATGTACTGACTCTTTGCTCAGTGAGGTGGACATCAGGTTCATCCTGCTTTCCTTAACTGCTGCAAGCACAGAGAATGTGGATCTGCAGTGGTCAGGAACCTTTTCTTTCACTCCTGGTCACTGATAGGAATCCAAGCCTGCAGTAGTCGAAACCCAGCCACATGATGAATATTTGGCATGTTGTCTCTTTAAACAGTGTATTCCATGTCTGGAATATCCAGAGCAAAAAAGGAGACATCCATTGTCTGAAAGAAAAACGTGGAAGCAATTACTTGGCATTATTTGGTTCAGTGTGGATTTGGCTGTTTTGACTGTGATGGGAGAAGCAGGAGGGCACCTGTAACTGGTCTGTGGTTGAAGATCTTCCATTTCACATCACAAATAGGATGGTTTCAAGTGCCCTTGGATGTAGGTAGAGACACTGGAGACTAAATTCTGGAAAACAGGTGAAAAGTAGGCAGTGTTACTTTGACCTTTTTTCCCATTTTTTGGTCATCCATGACTTTCTGTGTTCACATTTCTATGCTCACATTTATGTAATCCCCTGCTCTTGTGTTTACAAAGGTTTAAGAGCAGGGCTGTGAAAGGCCTGCTTTGATAGCAGGACTGTTGCTTTGCAAGCATCCTCCTCTGTTTCTACCTCAGATACTTGTGCTCATTCTAGTGCCAGTTGCTCAATATACCTTACTCATAGGTTGAAGATAGTTTAAATTGCTGGGAGACCAGTAGTTTATCCAGATACTGCAGTCTTGAAAGAAAATGAGGATACGAAGATTCCTCCCCTCAGTTTAAGTGTCTAGTTTCTTGGGAATTTGGTTTTCAAGAGCTGAGAGTTTGTGTCCCTCCTGTACTCCCAGTCTAATCCACTAAAGCAGATGTTTGCCAAGGAAGTCCTTAAATTTCATTTCTTGAAATTTTCCTTATACCCCTCCCCACTTGTAAGTATTTAAATGCATTATTAAATCTGATTAATTTTTCTCTCCTCTATGTATATTTCTTGCCTCACCATACAATCACATCTCCTTCACCAAAGCCTGCACTATTTCCCACAGTAGAGGGAAATAATAGTTGTCCTGTTCCCAGCCAGGACAGGGTTAATTTCTGCAGCAGCCAGGAGGGACATGGCTAGGACCTGGAGATTGTTCTAGACCACCCTCCATCATTGCCAGGAGCAGGGGGAGTCTCTTCCAAGGAGAAGAGGTTCCTTCTCATGGAGTAAATGTGGTGCTGGTCCTGAGCCAGGGGGAGCATGGGGGGGTCATGGCTGTGGTAGGATTGTGGGCTCCACAGAGACCATTTTTGTGTGACCATTTTGTACACTTTTGTTATTAATGTTGTTGCTCTTACTGTTTGTTTTCTTGCCCCACTGCTGTTTCTAGTAAATTGTTCTTGTCTCAGCCTGTGACCTTTACCTTTTGTGACTCCAATTCTCCTCTCCAGCCTGATGCAGAGGAAGGGGGAGCGAAAGATGGTGCATGGCTTGGAGTGGTTTCAGAGGAAAGGCTAAACTGGAGAATACAATTCCTAAACCATGACATCAGTAGGGACTGACAAAAGCTGGTTTGCCACTTTGTGATGGGGTTGTGCCAGGAATCAAAGAATTATTTAGGTTTGGAAAAGACCTCTGAGTCCAACTGTTAACCCAGCACTGCCAAGTCCACTACTAAACCACATCCTTGAGTGCCATATCTACACATCTTTTGAGTACCTCCAGGGATAGTGACTCAACCATGTCCCTGGGCAAACTGTCCTAGCTTTTCCTAATAACCAATCCAATCCTTCCCTAGCACAAATTGAGACCATTTCCTCTTGTTCTGTCACTTGCTGTGTGGGAGAAGAGGCCAACCCCACCTCACTACAAGAAGAACAATAAGGTCTCCCCTGAGCCTCCTTTTCTTCAGGCTAAACCACCCCACCTTTCAGTTGCTCTTTGTATGACTTGTGCCCCAGGTTTTTCTCCATCTTCATTGCCCAGTCCAGCCTCTCGGGGTCTTTCTCGTAGTGAGGGCCCCAAAAGCCCTCACTCTGAGCACAGGATTGGAGGTGTAGCCTCACCAGTGACAAGTACAAGGGTAGGGCTTACTGACATGCTTACTCATGAAATACAAGTTACATGGCACTAAAGCCACATGGTACTAACGTTATCTGTTCTGTACTTCAGTTTTCACAATAGTTGTGAGAGGTCAAAATATTGCTGTATATGCTCTTTGACAATTTAATATCATGGTACTTTCACAAAGCTTTTTAGTTGTTAAAATTAAAACTTTCTGTAACTGCTAAGGATGCTGGTGATGCTGTACATAGGATTGTATCGCTGACAGATGCTAGGAGACTTGGTTTAAAATTGCTGAGTCTAAGCATTGGTTGGGAAGGTAATTCTACTTGGTAATCTACCATTTACTGAGATTTGCCATTTAGTGGTGAGAATACATGAAAACATTTGCTATAACAGAAAATGGACACATTTACTACAGAAAAAATGGAATTTTTACATATATATTAGAGGTATATAAATGTATTTACAAATGTATATGTATTAATTTATATACACACACATATATACATAAGCATGTTGTACACACTCTCACCTGTGTAGTTAAAAGCTAGATGGCAGAACAGTGTTATTAAATTGTTATTAAAGAAATACTTTTGTATTTCTTTAATAACGATTCTCTGTGTGCACATAGATGCAGAAATACAGAGATACTGTTTATCTGTGTCATAAATCTGTGCTTTTTAATTCGAGTTGAAGAAAATAATTAAAGATTCCCATACTTCCCTACTCCACGTCTCTGTTCTGATGCATCCATTCTCAGATTGCTGACTGTGCTTTTCTGGATGCTCTTTAATATCTTGTGACTCAGGGATAAAAAAATCTAGTAGAATTGAGATACATTTCCATGCTTCTGTTAAGGACAGTAGGAACTAATTTGTATGTTTGCCACACAGGTTCTGGAAATAAAATGCTAAATTCTTCTGTGCTATAACATCAAAGCTTACCCTTTTTAGAGCAGAACCAAAAACTCGGTGGTATTTAATGCCATAACCCAGTTACCTACTCCTCTTCAATTATTTTTTTACTATCCTTCTTTTTTAAAAAAGATGAGCAATACCTACAATAACGCTGTGGACTTACTGGCACAAGAAATTGAGAATAAGACTAAACACTTGGATTTGCTTGAATTATCTTTCTGTTCCAAGTTACTCAGGAATGCGTGTCTCTGCAGGTCTGAAACCTTCTTAGGCTTCTATTTGCCTGAAATTTCAATTTTCAGGACATTATACATGTCTGTGTCAGCTTTGGAGGGTACCCTGTAAAATGCATCACTAAGCAAACATCTGTACTTCTGCATTTCCTTTGTACTCAGGTTGCGGGAAGATATCTTGGGAAAGCCTTTATCTTGTGAGAGATTTTACTTTTTGAACCCTAAGATGTTTGTTACCTTATCCTGGTGTTAGTTTTCCCTGAGATACTTGTCCCTCTTATTTGACATTGCTGCGTAGGGGATATCTAACAAAAGTCAAACACAGCAAAAATCCTCAGTAGATTTATTGTGTATTGGATTATCTACCTTTTCTTTTTTTTAAAGGAAGGCTTTTCTGCTGGATCTTAGAGAAATTGCAAGGCTTTAAAAGCTAAACTAACATCACATTTGGAGACAAAGAACTATGATTTCATTCTGGTTCATTTCAAATGGATTAGAAAATACTGGCCAAATTGGGCACCATGCCAAGATTGCCATTAACTTTTCCCATAAAATGTGATTAAGGACCTTAACAAGCATTTAGTAATTAAGCGAAGTGCTTTGGAAATTTATATGCTGTCCACAGGTTGTCATGTTCTGTAAAATACTGAAGACAGTTTTTATGAAAAGCAATAAAAACAAAGCACTCGAGAAACATCTGGGAGTGTTATCTGATGGGGAAGGAATAGTTTCACTTGTAACAGGATATTTTTATATTTTAAATGAATGTTGTGTAAAGTTGATTTTTTGTTTGGGTTTTTTTAGGTAAGTGAATAATTGCCTGAATTAATGGAGTAATTTCTATAACCGCATATTCCATTCCAGTGTCCGCGTTGCTTCATTTTATACTCTTGAGTTAATTATTTTCCATGTACTCCTTTAATTAGTGTTCTGTTCCATATTTGGTTTCTGGTTTTATTTAATGCAGATGAATTTGCTGGAATAACAGTCCAAAGAGATGGGATTGCTGAACAGTCTCTGAATGAAGCAGATTTTCCTATTGTATGGCAGGAAAAGGCAGTATAGGCTTTCAGTCTGATAATGTTCAGGGGAGAGCAGCATGAGGCTTTGTTTTGTAGCTTTGCTAACAAAGAAAAAAGGTTGGTCTGCTGCTGCTGAGGTAGCTTTTATGTGCTGTGGCCACTCAAAGTGATTTATGAGTAATTTTCTCTACAAACCTCTTTTCCTTTCAATGTCCAGCTTCCTTTGACACAGAGTGCATTGCAGATCATGCAACAGGCTTAATGGAATAACAGCACTAGATTATCTTCGCTGTGCTTTCTGAGGGAATTCAAACCTTAAATTTGGGAGGATTTGTTTTTCAAAACTACAAACAACAAACAAATAAAAGATGAGTTTATTTAATCAAGTAAATTATGCCAGATTATTGAAGAGTAACAGGTATTCAGATCTGCATTCTGCACCCCTGCCCAGGAAGTGTGCAGCAATGTAACTCCTCTCCTAGATGAAATAATAAAATAAGAGGTGGAGCAATTTTTAGGCTTGTGTACTACATGAGTCAGTGCTTTAATGACTGGGGGATCCAGCTGATCTTCTTGTTTGAGAGCTAGGATGCAAGACGACAATTTTTTTCAATGTTAATTTTTTTTTCATACTATAGAGCAACTGAAATTTGGCTGACAAACTCCTTAGTTCCAGCCTGGGTTGTGGCTCACTTGTGGCCTTCAGTCAGGTCTGTGCCTGGGCTCACACAGTGGAGATAGATCTCAGTGATATACCTTGAGGCTGTCACTGGAGAATCTCTCTTTTGCTCCCTATGTGTGCCACAGTTCAGTTGGGTTTCTCTTGTTCTGTTTCATTTAAATGTTGCCCAGAGTTTCTGCATTAGTGGCTGCTGCCTGGTTCTCACTGGTAGGTAGGGAGGCCTACCAAATATTTCTATTTTCAGCTGCCACAGGAGATTTTAGGAGCTTTACTACCAGCAGAATGAGTTTTGTGATCAGAAAAACATGGAATGGTTTGGGTTAGACAACCTTTAAAGATCATCTGGTCCAGCTTCACTGCTGTGGCAGTGACAGACTTATTTCAGTGTTGCTGCAGAGGCAATAAAACCTGTTATCACAAAGATACGTGTGATATTTACCTATGAGATGCTTAGTGATTGCTCCTCTGTGGTGAGCAATTCATGTGCTTTTAAGTTGAAAAGTTAAAACAAAAATTCCTCTAGGTTTCCTGAATTGAAGACATGTATCATGCAATTTGTCCCCTGTAGGGTTTCTGCTTTTTTGTTTCTTTTTATATTATGAACATGTATATGTATCCTCTGTCAGTACTGTGTTTCATGTTGGATATTCTGCTTTTATGTTACTGCACTTATATACAGAAGATATAAAAAAAGCTTGTAGAATGTGAAGCTCAGGCACTGCTTCTATGCCAGTTTTGCCAAAGTCACTCTTAAAATCTGTACAGATGCCACAGACATTTTTTCCAGGGGTAGTTTTGTTGGAAATCACTTTCAGATCCCCTTTTTTCTTTTTTCCTATGACTAGATGTTAAAATTTTGCACAGTACTTCCAAAGGGCAGAGGGACAGATTTTTATCTCCAGAATAATAAAAAGGTCTTTATTTTATTGCTTTTTATTTAATTACTTTAAAAGAAGGAGTGATTGTGCCTGTTGATTATTGTATTACTCCCTGACCCTCTCTTTCCATAAGGTAAAACGCCCTCCAACCTTAGGATGTTGTCGAAGAATAGTCCCTTGTAGAAATTTTGTTCGGGGCTTGAAACAATTAGTTTTTGCCTTACTCTATCTGTTTGTTCTTTCAGGGCATTCTACCTGGACAAGTCAAACTTGCCTCCAAATTCTACATCTAAAGCAGCTTATATAGACAAGGTAAATAAAAATGTTAAGTGCCTAATTAAACTCTGCATGTTACACACTGTGTTACTGAGACTTATTCCATCACAAATTGAATTGTTTAAATCTGGGGGGAGAGGGGCAGGGAAGGGAGGAGCTCTCTTGCAGCCTTTTGTCCCCCCTGTGTTTTTTGGGGTAGGTGGTACCATGTGGTTCTGATTAAAAGGTGTGGCAGGGAGGGTATCTGTATTTGAGAAGAGGAATCATTACCTTCTTTTTTCACTGTGCTTTCAGAGCAATGCTACTGCCCTAGGAGCATGTGAGGTGCAGGCAGAAATTCTTTGTTCTGAATGCTGGAAGTGTGTTTCCAAATTAAATACTGCTTCAGCATCCTGCTCAGAAGACTTTCTTCTGAATCTTCTTATTTAGGCTTTCTTCAAATGCTTTCATCTGTCTTTAAACCTCTGTGGCAGAGAGATCCCAGGGGCTATAAAAATTCATTTAATGCTCTCTTCTCTCATTGAAGAGTTAATTCCTGTATTGCACCCCAGTAGGGGGAATAAGGAAGTTCCTGGGGTCTTGCCTGTGAAAGTGATTGAGCTACTATGGCTTGAGAAATAACAGCGCTCATCAGCTGAGCTATGTCAGACTAAAATTTTATGTCAGTATCAGCCCTGGTTTTAACAGACTGGTGGTTCCTGTTTCTTGGATCCATGCAGGGCTGCACCCAGGGGAAGGAGGACATTTGGCACTCCTTCCCTGGGGAGTCAGCAGCGTGCCTGGCAGTCACAGGTGCAGCAGGGGACGTTTAGCTGTGAGGGAAGTGCTTGTTGCCCCTAAACCCGTTCCCTATCTATTTCACCAAAGAGTTCAAGGGCAAGAGAAAAGCATCTCATAATCCACATCTGACCAAGGGATGCTAGGTTAAGCTAATGCATTTATTTTGCACCTGGAGCAAGCCAAGAGTGAGTGCATGATCCACTTTTGGCTGTGCCTTGCACTTCATTGTCCTTAGCTTTGCATTAGTAGATGACACCAGCTAAAATAAATTAGATAGATGCAAGTTAATCCAGTAGGATGTAAACCAAATTAAATCTGTTTGCACCCAGGTTAAAATATTTTATTTTTATAGCTGATTTTCTTGACATCTATGCTTTTCAATGAAGTAACTAGGACCAAGTGAGGCTGGTGTTTCTATAACTAGTTAAAACGGTCTTTAGGCAATTAATCTGTCTTTCAATACATTAATTCTTTGAGTAGCATGGGGATTTGTTGCAATCTTTAAGTGTTTCTGGAATAAAGAGAAATGGGAACTTGGAATTAGGTGGTCTGAAAATTTGTGTTGTGCACATCTCATTTACGCAAAGCACCATGAGATACGGGTTTTCATTGCTAGACCACTTTTGAAGGCTTCTCTTCTGACACAAGCTTTGCACTTGAAAGATGTCTTCTTTACTTCATTCATTCTTAGTAAAGTAATGCTGGGATTACTTTAAGTCTTACTACAAAGTTAGCCAGTTTTGCTTTGTAGTATGTTTTTGTCACATCTGCTAATTTTTATTTTTTGAGGTTAGTCAGGATTAGGAACTAGACATTTAACAAATAAAGGACAGTGTTGTCATAAATGTAAGATGATTTTCTCAGCAAGTCAATTAACAAGTCTTGATATCTGTATCTTGGTATCCTCTATATGTACAGTTGTAGGTTGCTTCTTCATGGCTTCTCTTCTTTTCCCAGTCCATTAATGGATACAGCATTCATGGGTAAATTGATATATTGAAGTGAAAAATACTTCCATAGGCAGGACTGGGAAGGAAGCAGTCAGTGATGGGAAGAACTGAAAAACTTTAGAAAGGTGTCATGTATCAGAAGACTCTGTGTTTGGTATTAATGTAATGGAATTTGGCTTTCTCAGCCAGACCTGGTGTTCTACCTCTCTGCATCTCTGATGACCTGCTCTGATAGAGTATTTCATGTGCTCTGAGGAGCAAATATTCAGACACCTCTCTGTTCCTCCTTCACAGCTGATGAGGCCTCTCAACTGCCTGGATGAGCTGTACCGGCTCGTGGGCTCCTTCATCCGCTCCAAGCGCACGGCCGCCTGCGCCTACACCGCCTGCAGCGCCTCGGGCGTCGGGCTGCTCTCCGTGGCCTCTGAGCTCTGCAGCCGCCTGGGAGCCTGCCACATCATCATGTGCAACAGCGGCGTTCACCGGTAGGAAAATTGCTTTTCCCCTTCTTTTCTGGCAGTCAGTCACTCCGTCTCTGCAGGTTGGAGACTGCTGCTCTTTTTAGAGATGGATCTTACACTAAATATCGAATATCTTACACGGAACAGTCAGTGCACTTGAAAGATTTGTGGAAATTCTAGAGATGTGTTTGCAGTGATTGACAGAAATGGACAGTACAATTTTTTTGGTTTGTGCAGTTGTAATGAAATTGTTCTCCATTCAATTCAGTAAAAGGCAAAAATCTTAATTGCTAAAGCAGAAAGAGAAATGTTACCTAGATGAATAGTAAGTATGATATTGAACTCTTAATACAGGCAAGAAATGCTGAAATTTTTATTTACTTTGTATGGTATAGAGAATAATAGTAGAGCTTGACTCAAGGAAGCAAGATGATTGATTCAAGGAAATAAGACACATGCATTTCTGTAGGTACACCTTATGATAATGAGAGGTTCAGCCTGAAGGATGGTTGATATGTTTAATACAATACCAAAGAATAGACTGACCTATAGTCAACTGAACTTTGTTATCAACCCTAAGAGATTTTAATAGACAAATATATATGTATGACAATAGTATCACCACAAAACTCTCTAGTACTTAATCATATTTGTCACAGGCAGCAATATGTTTATGTTCCATCTGGGGAGATTACAATTTTTTGGGACACTGTACCAAAAAAAGTAAAGACTAAAATTTGAGAGGGAGAAAATTCCCAACAAACAAAGGAATTAACATAACAAATAATCACAAAAGAATTAACATAACAAATAATCTGATACTAAAAATATACTCTTCTCATGAGAGTTCCAAACTGTAGATCAGGGGTAGCAGTATGTTAAAAATGCTGCTTAGTTTCTGATCTATGCAATCCTTATTTTAGCAGACATGGTTACCAATACCTTGTGTTAGAATGAGCAATACTTTCTCCTGATTTTAAGTAAAATCCTTTCTTCCAAAGAGTTCTGAGGAGAGAAGAAGAAAAGAAAAATTGCAACATAAGCAATGCAGATTATCAGGCATGAAAAAAAGGAAAAGCTTTATATACAGCCGAAAAAATTAAGTTATATGAAGACAGTGTTTGCCATTTGAGAGTTGGCAACACAGTATTTGTATTACTCTCTGTCAATGATACAAGTGTATATAACTTACTGTATACTGTATTTAATTTTAGGGAATAGCAGGAAAAAGCTCTGCTATGTAACATTAGTCACTATATCAGAGGAAGATGCAAATGCTATGGAGCATGGGCTGTCATGACACTGGTATTTCAGAAGACCATGAGGCTGTACAGCTTTTCTCTTTGTCTTGCTTTCAGTTTCATGTCTTATGTGATCAGAAAAGGCGTCAGGCATAATTCTGAAAGGTTTTTTTTTGCTGAAAAAAGACTGCTTCTGTGTTTGACCAGCATTTAATGAATTTGTCAATACATTAGTGCCAAAAATTCTGATAGTTTAAGACTGTAGTCAGAACTACCCAAATAAACTATTATCCTGTAGTATGTGCGTCATAAATTATTCAGAATTATTTGGCAACTGAATAAGATCTGGTTTGCTTAAATCTGAATATGAGCTATTCTAAGATGAAAATTAATTCATCATCAAATTGCTGCTCAAAACTAGGGCTAATTCAAAGGTAAAAACTCCTAAAATGTCTATAGAAGTGTATTTTAAAACCACAAAAAATTAGAAAACCAAGCATAAAACCATATTGGTTTTAAAGACTGTATTATGAGCATGGGAATGGGATTTAAAGTGTTATGTGTGGGTTTCTGTCTAGATGTTAAAGGATTCATCATCATCTATTTACATAAAGATGCAAGATACTTTTCTCTAAAGCATGACTAGTTCTACTTTACAGTGAGTCCACTTGAGTTTTGGTACTGCTACTTCATTTGTGCATTAATACTGCCTTTGTGGCTACCATCTGTTCAGAGAAAGAAACACCAACTCTTGGCATTATCAGAGATATTTCAAGATGGGCCCTCCAGGAAAAATAAATGGGCTACTTGAGAAATTGTATAGGTACTCAGGGGTTTGTACCTGGAAATTCAGAAGAAAACTCATGTATTTAGAGACAAGAAGGGATTAATTCACTCTTCTAAGGGAAATAAATCCCTCTGAGTGGTTAAAGCTAAGAAAGTTTTTTAATAACATTTTCCTGAAATTGCTGTTGCAGATGCAAACTGGATGGATGAAGAAGTTTTTCCTTAGTATTTGGAGTCATATGAAGTCACTTCATGTGCTGTTTTCTCTTTCTGGTCTCCCTAGGACACATCTCTAGAGTCCAGTACTAAGTGGGCTTTGGTTTTTTGACATTCTGAAATTGCCTTTGCCCAGATAGAAAGCTTGCTTTATTTCCAGCTGGTAGGTTTGCTCAGTGAATTTTGTGCCCAGCATTTCTAGTGCTAAATTCTGCAGTGTTTTTGTGGACCTACTGTCCTTGCTGCTCTCAGAGAAACTGTCTTGCAGCAACACAACGTCCTCTGAGGAGGACACAAGAGGAAAGAGTAAGATGCTGCATGTCATCAAGTCCCATGGACAGAGGATTTTGCTTTATGCCTGCCATCTTGAAGACTAAATTCTTCTGTTTGTTGGAGTAGTATTTAATCAGGGCAGATAATGTTGCAAAATCGTGCTCCTTAGCTTGTTAGCTAGTTCCTTAGAGTTCCAGCTACTGATTTTCAGTTAGAGGGGATATTTATCTCTGGTTGTACTCAGCAGTGTATCTGGCTTTCTGTGCTCTTTGAAACTAAATACTGTGGAGTCCATGATTGTGATCAGTTGCAGAACTTCACGTTTTGTAGGCCCAAATCAATGGCTTATGATTGTTTTTTAACACTAGGCCACGGATACTAAATTGAGTTAAAACTGGTATTATCTACAGATGCTACTGGATGAACACATGGGGGAAAGATGTGAATTTTTCTTGCAGATTGAATTTTCAAAATCTATTCATTTGTCAGTCTTGCCAGCTTAAAAATGAAGCTCAACTTGGAGCAAGGCTCCCCCATACTTTCTTTTTAAAAGGCCTCATTTTAACTCAGTTTCTATGATTAGTCTTTAGTGGAGTGAATGTCTGAGAGTCTGGAAGAGTACAGGGTGCTCTACTCATCAGCATCTTTCTTTTGTTCATGGGGAGTGGGAGCTGAGCAAGACATTAATCTGTCAAAGTTTAAATACATTTAATAGAATTTAAAATAGAATTTTTTATATATATATATATACACACACACACACACACACCCTCCCTCACTCAATTTATTCATCTCTTACTGAACTGATTGGAGGGCCCTATCTGTGTGCTCTGAATTTATGTGTCATGGATTGACAAGGGGGCAGGGGGAGGTTCTGCCACTGCTCCTTCTAACCAGAAGCAAGTCCCAGATAGCTTGTGAGGGAGGCACTGGGTGATAGTCCAATGCAGAAGAGGCCAAGAACTATGAAACAGCAGCTTTGTCTGCTTTGACAGTGATTGCTGATCTCTGGATCAGCAGTGTCTTGGTTTCTGACTTCTCTGTGATCCATATTAAATTGCTTTTTACGCTGCACTAGGCTAAAACAGCTTGACAGAGTTCATACTTTCATCCCTATATCCTAGATAATGCTGGGGATTTTGAATTGCTGGTGATTGCTTTTCTTTGATTTTTATTATGACAATATGTTTACCAATTTACATTAAAGCCTGCAATCCTATATCTATTTCAGACAGCAGTTCTTTCCAAATACATTTTGAGCACCAGAAAACCAAGGATGGGGAAAAATAAGTCCCTTTAACCTTCACTGTCCTAAGTGTGAGTGCTACAAACCTCCCCTTGGATTATCATAAGCGAACATGCCTTGTTGATCAACAAGAGGAACAGAGCTCTGAATTAGTTTGAGAAATCAATAGTTTGCATTTTTATTTTACCTTTTTTATCTTTCAGAATTATATTTCTGCCTGCCAGCCAGCTGTCACCCTGTAAACAACATTCTGCATTTTTTGCTTGTGTTCATTCTGTTTGAAGTTGCTATCAGTCTGTACAAATGCAGGTGATGAAAGGCACTTTTAAATTTTATTGAATCAGGATTCTAACTCCTGCTTGAGGGAGAAGAGGAAGACTGCACTGCACAGACATGTCCTAGCCTCTTTCTGTGCCAAAATGAAATTAGGTGCAGCAGCTGCAGAAGTCTGTTCAGGGACCATAGGCCTTACAGGCTCAAAGGAATAATTTAAAGCATCCAAATGAAACAAATCCCAAGTTTATTTAAATTTTTGCATTTCCTGGAGGATCAAGGGAAAAATCTTCTATAATCTTGATGAAACCCAGAAAAATCAGAGTCTTATTTTCTTTTCTGAATTTTAATTTCCCCTGCAGAAATTCTCTCCTTAGTGTTGCCATCCTTCAAGCAGTGGGGTTCTGGCTGGCAGACACTTGGCTGAGGAATGAGGCAGGTTTTGCCAAGTGTTGATTATGCTGTCTCCTGTAGCTGGCAGTGGTCCTGCAAGCCAGCCAAACCTGCTTCATCTTCCACATTGCAAAGCAGAGTAGCACCATAAGCTGTCCATCATGGCCAGCTGCCTTTCTGTGAATCAAATGAAACAAGGTGAAAAATAGGTACCCTGGATTTGTATTTTTGACATTCTAGCATAAGAATTCTTCCTCTTAGATTCAGAAATTTTCCTCTAAGAATTTAGTTCATGCTACATTTAGTGCATGCTACAAAGAAAATCCTTTGAGTTTTGCAGCTGTATTTAGGCTATAAACTCCCCAGTAAGAAAGCTTTCAGGGATCAATGGGACTGCTTTCAGGTTAGCACAGACTGAAAAACTAATCCATACCCTTCTCCAGCCATCTGGTCCAAACTGGGCTTTTAGTCCTGCTACCTCCCCATTTAGTCAAGATTCTCTTTGATTTTCTAAATAGTAGTTATGTTATGTCTGTCTATAATTGGTATATTTTTATGATACCATACCCACTGAGGCATAAACAAACTTCTCTTTGTGTAAAATAATTATTTGGGATAATAGAGTATTATTTAGAATAGTAGAGCAGAATAATTTAGGGTTTAGGATAATAGGGTATTACATTCTGTGCTGGTTACTACCTAAAACCAATGAAATAATTTTGAAATATGTGAGAATTTGTTTTAAAATAGAATAGGCAAGACGCTTAGCACAAATAGTGCTATGCTGTTCCTACAGCAGTAATTGTTTTATTTTGCTCTATATTTGTCTTTCATAGGCAATCTGGTACGTTTTTGCTTTGTCATCTCTAGTATATCTAATATATAACGCTGGATGGATTATAGTATTACTGATGTCTTGCATGTTTTAAATTCTGTGACACTGTTTAAAATGCAATCTGAAAATGCAGAGAAATGCATTAAATGCAGTGAGACAGAAAAGATGGATCTAAGTCATTACTAGTATGGATTTCAATGTATGCTTTTTACCTGTTTGGTCTTCTTTTAACATTATGGATGTTTAGTAGCAGGTTTGAAACACAGTGCTATTACTGTGCTCTGTGGAATCATTCTTTTTTGTGCTTCAGTTCCTGCACAATTGCCTTATCTGCAGTCCAGTTCTTTGAAACCGGTGTTTTTCATAAAAATCTTCTACTTTACAATCAAAATAAAATGGGGCCTCTCAAATAATCTGAAATTAAAAACGTAACCAGATCTGCTTTAATTTTTGGCAGAGAGGTAAGTGAATAGCTTGAATTATTACAGGACAAGAAGTAAATTGCAATTTTTTACCAGATTTACTTGCCTCCTTACGGAGGAAGAAGCCTTTAATGGAAAGACTTTCTGCACAGAATGAGAGATAATGGTCAAAGCTGGGGTTTCAGATGCCTTTAGATTGTGTTTATTTTTGCAAGTATGATGGAAAATGAGTAAATAAAAGGCATGGAATAGCTCAAAATTTTGGAAATGCTCTTCTCTCATCAAGCAAGGAATATTTAATAATGAAATTGCTTCCTTGCAACACTTCCAGCTGATGAGAGGTGCTAAGATCTTACAGGAAAGATGATTGTGAAAAGATGCTCCCTGCAGTTTTTTAACACTGACAGATGATGTTCAGTGAAAAGAAGTGCCTTTTTTTTTCTTCCTAATTTTTCTTTGAAAGCCTCTCTGTTTTAAAGAGGTAGAGTCTTACATTTATTTATGGAAATAGAGTGGATGACAAAAATTTTTAAATCTACAGGAAAACAATATTAACATAATTTCCTGTGTGTTTCATACTTCATTATTAAAAAGTACTAATATTGAATCAAATAACCCTGATAAAATATGATAAAAATATGTTTTTAACCTACAAAAAAATTCAGTAACCAAGGGTAGATTTGATATATGACTAATAGATACTTTCCTCCCAAGAATGATTCTCTGGCTTGATAAGTTCGTGCCATCCACTTCAATAAGTCAGACATCTATTGAAAGTTGGTGTGTGAACATATCTGGTAGAGCTGGGTTTGATTATCCTGTTGTAGAATAGTGGAGGTATGCCTGATAAGGGAGTTGGGATATCTTTATTCTGAGGTTTGCACAACTGTGTAACCACAGTGGTGCCTTTTGTGAATGAAACCCCTGCATGCTGATGCTTAATGGACAAAAGGCAGAAAATCCCTTTAACACAGGCTGCACATGGCCATTCTATGTGGTGATGGTGTGTGTTCCACAGACAGTTACTTTTTGAAGTGTTGGCTTTTATTCAGAGTGGAATTAATACACTTCATGTGCATAATAATTGCTTTCTGTATGTTAAACTGGCCTTCAGTGGACAGGTACCATCCAACACTGATTTTATAGTAGCCCTTCCACACTGGCAACAACTCAGCTTCACAAAGATTCATAAAGGGACTGAAATTAAGTCCTGAACTCCAGCAGAGTTCACTGTAATTGTGAAAAACAGTATTTTACTTTAGTGTATGTTCATCATGCTCATTTTCCCTCCAATACTTAATGTTTGGTGAAATTTACCTCTGTTGAAAAGCTAGACCGTTTAGCAAAGTTTCAGTTATGGGTGCAGAGAATGCAAGCTTCAGTATTATTTGCATGGAGACACATTTCCACAGTGAGAACATCTTAAAGCTTGTGGAAAAATCTAGAATTAGGCCTGCCTATACTTTGTCCAACCATTTTTTATAGTCCTGAACAACATTTGTCTTCCTTTTTAGTTTTATCATGCCTATTTTCTTCTTCAGATTGTTCATCAGAATCAATGCATATTACCCAGCCATCACTATTAATTATAGACAAATAGCCCAAAAAAGTTTACCCCAAAGTGATTTACTCTAACACTAAGTTTTTTATTACTTTATGCACTGATTTAAATAATATTCCTTCTATACTTATTAATTTAAATGACAGCAGAAAATAAAGATTACTTGTAGTATAGTTGATGTAAAAAGTGGTCAAATGTAGGACTGATTAGCTCATGATGCATGGGAAGAAAAGTAATTAAAATAACAATAATGGCATCAAATTACATGTTGAGAGAAGCTTTAGTTTTTAATTAGACTAAGCATACATGCATCCTTTTCATATTTTTTTCCTATTCACATAGAACATAATTAATTTTGACATCTCTGACTGTGGTAACTACTAAACCAATTTGTTTCACCTCATCTTTTCTACTCAGGGCATTTTTCTAAGGGATGTTTTGGTGCATTTTTGGATGTAGAATGGCTTAAAGCCTAATTGAAACCTGAGAATGAATTGGATGCTCTGGTAACCTAAATATGCACTTTGCTGCACGGCACCTCTGTAGGTAGTGAACACAAACTCAAAAAATTATTTTTCCTTTTCAGTGACATTAGGCAAGCTATTGTGAAATAATCAATTTCTCAGAAAATTTCAGTCTGTACTTGTATTTTACAACTCCATTTTTCAGGATTGATGTGCATCTGTCCAGCTGATTTGCAGCCCTTTAGTGAAAATCACATCTAGTCGGAAAAAAAAAGGACTATTGGTGATAGAAAATCATTTAGTCTTACTTTTTTAGCCAAGTTCAGAGTGGTTTGATGCAGAAGTTGTTTTAAAGTTTGTATTTAATCTTCACATCAATAGTGTCATGACTGATGGGAGACTGGGGATAGCAGGCAGGAGCTGGGAGCAGCTGCAGCCCCTTCTGTTCCTTGGAAACCAAATGGATGAAATGAGGAATTCTCAGCCCTGTTGTCCTGGGAAATCCAAATGTCTCTGCCTTGCTGTTGTAATCTGTCAAGACAGGGAATTTGTCATTCTAACCAACATAAATTCTGAAATGATGAATTTGAGTCTTTTGTTTTTCTCACATTAAAAAAAAGAGGTGAGAGGAAAAGAGAGGGAGTCAGAACAGATTTTGATCTGTTTACACTGTTAAATCTATGGATTTGGGCTTTATGCTTCCCATAACAGTATGTTATGAAGGTTTTTCCCCAAATATTTTCCTTGTTTGGCTTGTCTGGGCTGATTGCATCCAAATGACCAGATACTTTCAGAGGTCAGAACTGCTTCCAGATTGCTTTGTAAACTTTAATACCATCTGTTTATCAGTTCTTAAAATGGAGGAGAAAAATGGATTATTACTTACTGCACATATTTACTGACAACCCTTGTTATTGAACTTTGCTCAGGCCATCATAACTTTACAAGATGGAGAATAATCAGATTTCATATTGTTTAATAAAATTTTAGAAGTTACATTGGTTTAAATTTGCATTTGCTTTATCTCTCCATGCTTGGCAGCCCTATTGCTGAGGTACTTCCAGTTATGACTTTTCCATGTTACCATCTGATGTTTTGTGTGTGCATTTTTTCTTTCACAGCAGGTGTCTAGGGGAGTTTGATTTGTGAAAAGGGATATGTACTAATTTAAAAAACTATTTGAAGAGCTGGGAGAAAGCACCAGTATGTAGATAAATGAGTCCCTTCAGCATAGTCTCATGGAAGATTAATATGATCAGTTTTGTTAGAAGATGCCATCTCACTGATCTGCTGTTCGACTAAGATGACACTATTTGAGTGTTATTGTTTTTTTTTATTTAGAAAGTAGTGACATTATTTCTTAATCATGGGACAAAAGCTGTAATCTACAGTTTATATTTAACTCTGCCATTCATCAGAGTTTTTATGCGCCAGAGGAGAAACACAAAATCTGGTGATATTAAATTCCACCTCTAATGAAACAGTATATTCAAATGCAATCAAGTCTGTGATGCAATTTTAACAGATTTTAACATCTGTTAATGAATAAGAAGGTTTTTTTAAAAGAGAAAATAGATGTATCAAACCAGCATTACTCTAGGATTTCACCTCAAACATAAAATGTTCTATTGAAGAGGTGTGATAATTATTAACATCATCACTGCTGTCATTTTGAGTGTCTTTGCTACTAATTTCATAGGCCATGTTAAAAATACTACCCTTAGAATTGCTATTCTTACTTGCTCTGGAGAGGGATCTTCAATTTTAGCATATGTGTTTCAGAATTGTACTGTAGTTGTTGCCTACGTCCATAACGGCCTCTAAAAAAATCTTTATTATGCTGCTTTGCTCTGTCTATGCTTTTCTCACTCTGGTTATGTCTCTATCTACACACTTGGCAGCCTTATTTCTGAATCATGGTTGGAATTGCCCAAATGTAGAGGCCTCATAATGTCCATGATCATCAGCCATTTCATCAGGTTTGGATAGGGAGCAGCTTGGCAGCCTTCTTTCAATCACAAAATTGCACTGAATTCTTCAATATGACCTTCATTTAGAAGGTTCCTTTGTTAGTTTTGATTCACGCATGCGGAATATAATTTTTTTATGCTTTCAGTCTTAAGGGTTCCAGGAAGATGGGATTTCTGGGAAACTTGGCTCGGAACTACTTGCTTGAGAGCTTTACTTTGAGCCCATTAATACATATTATACCTACTGAGAAACTTTTTGCCCTTTTTGTTTGGCTTAGATTATATCTGTCAAACTACATTTCAGATACTTTTGCTTTTTTCCACTGTCAGTAGAACAAAGCCTCCTTTGCAATCTGGTCTTGAAGGTTGGATGTTTAAATTTTGGTGCTGGCAAATATTATGAACATGTATTTTGTGCAATATTTCACTTTTCAAAGACAAGATGAAAACAGTGTTTAGAATTTCTAATCTAACATTTAGCTATCTTACACCTTAATCAAACACATAAAAGAAAAGATCAATACACTCTTGCCTCAAGTTAACTGAGGCCAGTGTATACAAGAAACTGGGGAATGAAAATTATTTCATTACTAAGGAAAATCACTTAGCTTATAAATTTTTTATGAAAGACCATTAATAAAGCTACAGATCAAATTTAGTATCCTCTATGCTCACTTCTGTGAAACTTCTTGCAGTCCAGAAATTAGCTTAAGCAGTTTTTAAAATGTGTCATTTTGGGTTTGGGTTTTTTCAGTAAGAAAATAAGAACAGACACATTTTTTTCCTCCTACATATCTTCTGCTCAGCAAGATAAGTATTTGATTGAAACATATTGTCTGTTCTGTGTGCATATTATAAACTATGCAGAACACTTTGGTCAGGATTTTGCCAAATGGGTGCTCAAAATTATACATTAATAATGTGTCTTAGTTTTTTTATTTGAACTTGAAAATTACAGCTTTTGTCAGGTTCTGCTGAGGTAGAATAATGTTGTGTACAACCCATCTTTCTGGTTCAAGAGATTTGATTATTGCAGCACTTTGGTTGTGAAGAGAAAAATCGAGCGATTTACTGGTGCAGAGTAGAGCCACTCTCACCTCTTGGGTTATAGCAGCCCTCAAGCATGTTCTTTCTAAAAGCACCTGTTTCTACTCAGGTGTTTTGTCTCTATCCATGAGTTTTCTACAGCTGTGATCTTGGTTGCATGAGAAAACAACCATATTTTCTTGTCCTGATAACAATGAAAATGAGATGGAGTCTTCAAAATTACTTTCCCTACTATTTCTTGCCCGGTGTTCTGGCAGGTTGTCTGTTGTACTGCTCTGAAACTTTCCTGGTTGCTCTGATACAACAGTGACAGCCTTTCTGTTAGATGAGGAACCACAATCAATTTTTGTCCTCAAGTGGTTTTTTGAAAAAGATTGGCAAAGCTGCACAAAACAGTTCATTTGAAGGAATGCAGTTTTCATCTATTTTCTTTTATGAAAGGAGTAAAAGTCTCTTAATTCTGCGCTGCACTGATGTGCCAAGACAATAATCAAGCTACATTAATTATAAAAGATTGGGACCCTGGTACAAAGCCTTGGTCTACTTTAAGAGTGGAGGTGGGGGTAGAACATGCAGAAACCACCTGAAAAGGGATTTATATAGTTGCAAAACATTTTTTTCTTGGATTGTTACTCTCCAAGTTGTGCACTTGCCAAACTATAGATTTTAGTGTGGGTTTTTGTATGTCGTTTTGTGTTTTGGGGGAGTTTTGTATGGTTTTGTGCTTTTTGGGGAGTTGAGTTTTGTTTTGTTTGGGTTTTTTTCCTTAAGAAAGAACAAAACGAATGCATTTGTTTGTAAGTCGGCAAGAACACTTGTTACACTCAAAAGCTTAGAAACGTTATACTGTTCAGGCTAATACCTGCATGGGTGAGGGAGGTATAGGAGACACATTTATTATGTAATCTTTTTATGTATAATTTTTAAGAAGAGGATTGATTTAAAAGCAGTTATTTTGAGGAGATATGAAACAGCTGACCTCTTTCCCCCATTGCAGCTGCACCCTGAGTGTCACCCTGGAGCAGGCAATCACGCTGGCCCGGAGCCATGGGCTGCCCCCTCGCTACATCATGCAGGCCACCGACGTCATGCGCAAACAGGTGAGGGGCTGGCTGTGCCACAGTGCAGGCACACAGCTGTGGTAATTGGGAGTGGGGAGTGGGTGTCCTGGTTTAGGGCAAATCTGGGAGAAAACCTCCAAAGGGGGCCCCTCCAGAAAGCAAATCCACACGGCTCCTCCCCCCAACGACTTCAGCAAGGATTCCTCGGAGACAAGGGGAAGGAACCTGTTTATTTAACAGGCACAGCACCCCCCAGCACACAAAATGAACAATACCGGATGACAACAGTCTTTCACCGCCCTGAAAAAGATGACAAATTCAGAAAGTCTCTCTTGGGGGTGGTTGCTCTGTTATCAGTCCCTCTAGTGCTGGGGGTAGCTGCTGCAGGCCACAAGGTGCAAACTCTCGGTGTTTCTCAGGTCCCAGCCCGGAGCAGGTTCGAGAAATTCCAAAAAAAGGAAAGGAAAAACAGTCCAGGGAAAAATTCGGACTGCTTAGCTAAACTAACTAATGAGCAGAAGCAAAGAGCAGGAGCAAAGCAGAAGCAAGAGTGAGAGCAAAGCAAAAAGCCAAGCAAAAAGCAAAAGCAGCACTATGTGCCGCCCTGTCTGTGTGTCCCACTAGCTGTGGGGGAGCGGTTGATAAGAAACCAAAACAAAACTTTCACTCTTCAGAGCCAGTCTTGAAGGCACAGAACATAATATCCAGCATAAACAGAACACACGAATGGGGATACAAGCATCATAATGTCACCCTAGGACAGTGGGCTACAGCTATGGAAAGCAGGTGAACAGCACTGAAATGAGCCATGGAGTGCCCAGGTGCACTGACCAACCACCAAAGGGAACAGAAGGCACACAGATCCATGCATGGACAATCAGGGGTATAAAAGGTTGGGCTAAAGAAAAAGAAGGGCAGATGCTTGCAGCCTTGTGAGGTAATGTAATGTTATTCTGTGTGGGCAGACAGCTGAAGCCTTCTGATGTGATTTGGTGTTACTCTGTATGGGTTGGAGCTTTCTGACATTGTATGATGATACTCTGTATATTGTGGATATCTCAACTGCAGTGTATGCTGTGACAGGGAAGACCTGCATGCTTCCAAACAACACATGTGGTTATCAAAATGGAATGATTCGACCAAGCATTTTTTAGCCTCCATCCTAATGTTGTGCAGTGTCTATTTGAGTCATCTAAGTTTGGGTTCTTTGTTGTTTGTGTTTTGGTCTTCTGTTTTGGGTTTTTTTTTAATTTTCTTCCCTGTTTTTTTAAATTATTTTTTAATACAGAAACAGGCTATCTTTATCCAGTTGTTTGCTTTCTCTTATGATTTTACTAAGTGATTTTTGTATAGTAACTGCCTTGGTGTCACCTTAGATCAGAATAGTCTGTTGAGTAAGACAATTTTTATCTTAATATATATGATTGATAAAAACAGCTTAAGATTATTAGCT